AAGAGGGGAGGAGGGGGGAAGAGGGGAGGAGGGGGAGGGGAGGGACGGGAGGAGGGGGAGGGGAGGAGGGGAGGGGAGGACGGGAGGGAGGACGCACAAGGGGTGAAGGTGAGTCTGGCTGCGGGAACAGCATCTCCGGAGCCACAGCAAGCCGTGAGTCCTCGCCCGACCTTACTCACCTGACGTGCCGGCCTGTACGGTGGAACGCGTGCCACCTGGAAGGCACATCCATATCGCAATGCACCACCGGTTTGACCTGCAGAAGGAAAAGGCGGCCTCAGAACCCGCTCTAACGGACCCCCTCCTGTTAAACCCCAGCAGCCGGCCCCGCAGCGCCCCAGACAGGGGCAGGAGGGGCAGGAGGCCTCGCGAACAGAGCGCAGGGGAGGAGCCAGGAAGGGTCCCCGGAGGGCAGACTCCCCGCCGGGAGCTCACGGTCCAGGGGGAGCATCTGCAGGAGGTGAGCGCCCGCACCGTCAGGTGCTCCCCCTGCGGGTGCCCCCCCGGCACCGGGAGCCCCCCCGCACCGTCAGGTGCTCCCCCTGCGGCTGCCCCCCCGGCACCGGGAGCCCCCCCGCACCGTCAGGTGCTCCCCCTGCGGCTGCCCCCCCGGCACCGGGAGCGCCCGGCAGGGACGCACTGAGACCACCCTCCCTCACACTGCGTCCACCAGGAGACCTGACCTGGAGCCCCAGCCCCACCCCACGGGCCGCACCCACCGGCACCCGCACGCCTGGTGCTGCGGGCCCACCTCCCATCTCCGTGTGCCACCCCTTCTGACCAGGCCCGGTGTGCAGCTCACAGACGGGACCTGAGTCACTCGCTACCGGAAGTGTTCGCCGCGGTCTTGCGGCTCAGGCCCGACCAACGATCTCCCTTCATCCTGCGGGGGATGAGTGTCATCTCTGCCTGGACAGCGCGGTCCGCCTGGGCTCCCACTGCATAGTCAGACCCCGCCCCCGAGACACCAGCCCCGCCCACCCGTAGAGGCTCCGCCCCCGAGACACCAGCCCCGCCCACCTGTAGATGCTCCACCCCTGAGACACCAGCCCCCGGACACCTGTAGAGGCTCCGCCCCTGAGACACCAGTCCCTCCCCCGTAGAGGCTCCGCCCCCGAGACACCAGCCCCTCCCACCCGTAGAGGCCCCGCCCCCGAGACACCAGCCCCTCCCCCCCAATCTGTAGAGGCTCCTCCCCTGAGCTAGGCTCGTGTTCAGGGCTTGCTCAGACTCTCTTCGCACCTGCTCCTGCGGGGGGGAGGGGGGCACAGCGGCGGAGGGTGTCCACCCAGGGCCCCCAGCTGGGCCTCCCGGCCTGGCCTGCCTGCGTACCCGGTCCCCCTCCACCCTATGCCCCTGGCAGGGTGCCCAGCCCATTTACACACAGATCGCCCACCTGTAACGTTAGCGCAGCTCTACCGAATCACCCCGAAAAGTATCTATCAAGCTCTTCTGCCCGGAATAACGCCGACCCGCAAACTCTGGGCTCACCCTGGGCGTGAGAGTGAGCGGCACACACCCTTAATGCGGGTGCGAGCTTTGGGCATCTCATGGTCTCCCCAGCACTGTTTTTTAAAAGAGGAGACGGAAAATGTGCTTTTGGGGTCCTCTGAAGGAGGGAGGAGGAGGCGTCCCGGGGAGGGGGGGGCAGGTGAGAAGGCTCAGGAGCACTGAGCCTGAGCAGCCGTGGAGAGAGCCCCTCCGGCACCCTGCTGCGGACTCGAAACACCGTTAGACAGAAGGGACCACCGGCCGAGACGCACCCGGACAGCAGAGCGACCTGGACCGGCCAGGCGGACCTCCCAGCTCTCACCGCCCGCGACTTTGCAGGGACTATATCACCTCTGGGCTGCCATCTATTAACGTCTGCAGTGGGGACCATACACCTGGCGGGGTTTGTGGAAGGTAACACTTTATAAAAGGCACAATGCCATACGCCACACAGGGACAAATATTCAAGCCATCAACATGAGTCTCCAACACACACAGAGATGCAGAGACACAGAGAGACACAGAGACAGAGGCAGGGAGAGAATGGAGAGAGACAGAAGACACACCATTGGGCATCTCAGTCTCATTACAGCCCAAACAGAATCCCTGATTTTGCCCACAGCCACTGACTGTCCCCAGACTTCTCGGTCTCAGGAGACCCACGTGCTCAACCACAGAGTCTGGGAGACACCGCTGCTGTGTCTCCTCCCTTACACCCCACGTCTCTCAAGTCTGCCTCAAAACTGTTTCCCTGGATGCGTTCAGTCCCTGCTGCCCCTTCTGCTACCACACTGGCTCCGCAGCTCGCCCCCCACGGGCCTTTCCCCACATCTAGCAGCGGCCCTTGGACACACCCGTCACAATGGGCTACCCCCCGGCTTAGAGCCCCAGTGGAGGTAACCGCGGCCGCACACTAAAATCCCCGCTCCTCCCTTCCTCCCCTCCCCACGCCACAGCCCGTGTTTGCCTTCTTCCAAACATCAAGCTTGTTCCTGACCTGGAGCCTGGAATGTTCTCCCAGGTCTCAGCACAGCTTACCTTTTCTTGCATGAAGAAGTCAACTTAGAAGCAGTTCCTCAGAGCAACCATGCCCCCGACCAATCACGCCCTTGATTTATTTCCATCATAGCATGTAATACTGTCCAATATCTTTGTGTTTATTTATTCACTTATTACTGATTCCTCCTCGTAGAATGTAAGCCTCCTGAGAGCAGGGAACTTGATCGTCATGTTCAACCAAGGGTCCCCACTGCCTGAACAGTGAGTGGCCCACGGCAGGAGTTTGAGAAGTGTGCCGTGAAGATGAATGAATGATGGATGGATGAATAAATGACAAGTGCTTCAGTGACAAGGGACAAACAGCTCTGATACTTCAGGAAGAATCCCAGAAAAGAGCAAGGTCACTAAAGACTGTGGTAACGCACACATCCTTCCCTGTTACTCTGTTGTCATGTTATAAACAAAACTACATTTTATATCTAAAATTACACACACCTGCATACTGATAGCGAAAAATCAAAGCCATGAATATCAACAATACCATGAAGTTACTGACCTGGTTTGTAACAAAACAACAGAAATTATTCCCTGCAAAATTCTATTAAAGTACAACTACCCTAAGAAACAGCTTTCTGCCTGATGGCGTAAAATTATGGAAACAATGAGCTAATTGCTTTTTTATGTGTTAATGATTCATTAGCCCTGATATCACCTGCCTAATTAAATAACCCCAGCAATTAAATACATGATTCTGGACTTTGCTTTCCTGCACTCCACATCATCTCCTAAAAAAGCACATGTGGCTTTCTGTCACGGCCTGGTGGTGACGACAGTGTCACTCAGCTGCCAAGAGGCTGAAGGGCTCACTGGGCTCTCGGGCTCCGTAACCAACAGTCCGAAGTAATTAAACCAAATCCACATCAATGCCGGAAGACAGGCGAGGTAACCACAGGCGTTTGCCCCCAAGTGGCAGCCATGCTTTACTGAATGCCTATTCTGTGTCGGGTACCGCATTCCTGCCTAATCCTCAAAATAACCAGGCAAGATACCTACGTGGTGAACAATCAGAGCCGCTCTATAATCTTCACAAGAACACACTGTTATGAAGTGTCCCAGCCACGGGAGGCCATCAAAAAACACTTCATTGTGGATTGTAGCCTATTGGGAATTGGAATGTTACCAGTGTGGCACTTGGGAGCCTGTGTCTGAGTCATCCGCGATCCCACCTTCTCCTCGCTCAACCGGGAGCTGGTTGCTGCCCCCGGACCCTGGTGCGTGAATGCGGAGGAGAGTGGCCTGTCTCACAGCATCTGCTTCCAGGAGGGGCAGCGCTAGAGGAGCTGGCGCATTGACGCGTTGCGGGGCGCCAAGCAAACCGCCAGAAATCAGCTAAGAGCTTTCAGTGGTTGTCGGTGCTGTCAGCCTCGCAAGTCACTGCTGTCTGCACCTCCTGGAGCCTCTCCAACCACCCTCAGGGAACATCCTCACGGCCTTTTCCAGCAAAGACTTCAAACAGAAAAGACTCAAGGGAGTCCAGCACCAAGAAAAGACCTCCCCACGTAACCGCAAGGGGAGGGTCTCGTAATTAGCGAACGGTGCTCGTCAGGGTCTGGAACGTGCCCTGAACTAACTGAGATGCCCCTACACCCCTCAACAGCAGATGCTGAAGACACACACGGTCACAGACCACAGAAACCCGACGGAAGGTGCAGTGAGCTCTCCATGGCTCATTTAACTCATTAAGGAAAAGGTCGTCCTGGACCACCTCCAAAGTCACTTCATTTCTCATTCTGTGATCCTCTGAGTCAAAAAAAGAAAAAGAAAAGAAAAGAAAAAATCAGCTTCACTCTTTCCCCAAAACGGCCAACAATCTTCCTAAGTCAGCATTCGGGAGCGTGTGCAGGGCACGGGGGAGGCAGGCAGGTGGGAAGTCACCCTTCACACACTGGTACCATCACCAGTAGGAACGTGGCAAATCAACACCTTTGCAGCCCTCCCGCATTACGCTGCGCTGGAGACCCTTGAGGGGGACGTGGGGCAAGTCTGGCTAAAACATGGCTGGGGAAATGGGTTTTCAGCCTTCCTGGCCATGATGATGATGCATTTTTATTTCTCGTTTTTTGGAAAATGTTGAGATAGTTTTACATTTAAAGCAACCACAACAACAAAAGAACCATGACTAGGGTTTTGTAATTGACTTGGCTGATATCATGTATCCATAAAGTTCTATCAGGTTTCTAACTGTTGAGATGTTGCCCCCTCTGGGAAGTCGGGAAGGGCCTGCCCAGCCCTCACTGAGGGTTTCCTGACTGAGGCACCACTGTGGGCGGGGGGGTGGGAGACACCATCCATGAGATGGAGGGTGTCTCGTTTCCAGCACCGTCCATCACAGCAGCAGAACTCAGGCATGGGGAGCCATGAGTGGGAGCACTGAGGATCACACTGGCCGGCTTCCCAGGACTCCCGTGGGGCTTGGAGACCAGACACTTGCCTGAAGTCAACAAGATAGTGTCAGAGAAGAAGCCAAGAGCTCTTGACCTCTGACAGCTTGGGGACCTTGGAGCCTGACAATGACAGAAATCAGAGCAACTATGATTGACTGAGCTCTTAACTCATTTCTGGCACTTTGCTAAGCAGCAGGCCATGTGTACCTCATTTTGGATTACTCGTACCAAAAGCAGTGATATTTCCCACCTAATTACTCCTCCTGAATGCCATTCAAATTCTTTATATTTCAAATTCTATTGGATTAGTGATTTGTTTCTTTCTTTTGAAAGATGCTTTCAAATCATGGAAAGAGCCTAAATGTCCATCAACCGACGAATGGATCAAGAAGATGTGGTTTATCTATATAGTGGAATACTACGTGGCAATGAGAAAGAATGAAATCTGGCCATGTGTAGCAACGTGGATGGAAGTCGAGGGTGTTATGCTGAGTGAAGTAAGTCAGGCAGGAAAAGACAGATACTATATGTTTTCACTCATATGTGGAACAGGAGAAGCTTAACAGAAGACCGTGAGGGAGGGGAAGGGGGAAAGTAGTTGGGGAGAGGGAGGGAGGGAAACCATAAGAGACTATTAACAAACTGAGGGCTGATGGGGGTGGGGGGGGAGGGAAAGGGGGGTGATGGGCATGGGGGAGGGCACTTGTGGGGATGAGCACTGAGTGTTGTATGGAAACCAACTTGACAATAAACTATAAAAGAAAAAAAAAAGAGAAAGATGCTTTATCTTCTCCCAACTAGTTGGAATTACCAACAGCTTCCCGTACACCAGTATCTCGCTCTCGCTCGCCTGCTCACCCTCTCAGCAACTTCAGGCCATTTTCTCAAATGGAGGGGGACACAATATGCAAAGCAAGTAATCAACCAAGAGTGTCCTTGGAGTGAGCCTGACATTCAGAGGACATCCTTCAATTACTCCTTCTGTAAAAGCAAAATAGTAACAAATGAGACTAACTACCCCTGCTGACCCTGGTGTTGACCACCTACGTTACCTGCAAAGTCTCAAATGATGACGTATGAATAAAATAACTGAAAGGGAAGAAAGAAAGAAGAGTGAGACTATGAGGGTGCAGAATTAGGGAAAATACAAATAGAAGCAGAGAAAAGAAGAACGGAAGTAGGGATGCCTGGTTGGCTCAGTCAGTTGAGAGTCCCACTCTTGGCTTCAGCTCAGGTCATGATCTCACAGCTCGTGAGTTCAAGCCCCACATGGGCCTCAATCTGACAGTGCAGAGCCTGCTTGGGATCTCTCTCTCTCTCTCTCTCAATCCCTGCCTCTTTCTCTGCCCCTCCTCTGCTCACACTATCTCTGTCTCTCTCTCAAAATAAATAAATACACTTAAAAAAAGATTTTTTTAATAAAATAAATTTAAGGGACACCTGGGTGGTTCAGTCGGCTAAGCATCAGACTTCAGCTCAGGTCATGGTCTCACGGTTTGTGAGTTCAAGCCCCGTGTCAGGCTCTGAGCTGTCAGCACAGAGCCTGGAATGTACTTCGGATTCTGTGTCTCCCTCTTTCTCTGCCCTTCCCCCACTGATGCTCTGTTTCTCAAAAATAAACATTTAAAAAATTTCAAAATGAATAAATAAAATAAAATAAAATTTAAAAAAGACGGAAGTAGGGTGAGGGTGAGCGCCGGCAAGCACACACACTTTGTCAGTGGTCAGAAGTGACCAATTCTGCACATATGTTTAAATGTGCGTTAAAAGAAATAGTGACACTGCTGATAAACGCCATCGGAGGGAAGGGGAAGTTATCCCATCAGCTTCCATGAGGAGCCCGGGAAAGCAGGTCCACCTGGCAAAGTGGGCAGAGCGGGGGGGGGGGGGGGGGGGGGAAGGAAGCAGGCACACCGGCACGGCAGGAGGGCTGCAGCGTGCACCCAAGCTGCCGGCCCCCATCCGCCTGCCGCCAGGGCCGGAGTCTCCATTGTTGGGCCAAGATGTTGTCCCCCAGTGTCTCTGACAAAAATGCAAATGTGTCACATGGCAGAGAAAGGAAATTAGCTCCCTCCTGCTACAACACACCGGAAACCGCCCTTGAAACCTTGTGCGCCAGAAAGGCACTCGGGGAGCGTGCAGAGAAAGATGCCCCAGAAAGAAAGGGAAGAAGGCGAGGGTGCAGAGAAGAGTCACCCCTCATAGCAGCATGTCTCCCTACACAGCAGAAGACGATAAAGTTCAAAGCAGAATCAAGGAGGGGCGCCTGGGGGCTCAGTTGGCTAAGCATCCAACTCTTGATTTTGGGTCAGGTCATGATCTCACTGGCTCAAGAGATCGAGTTCTGAGTCAGGTTCTATGCTGATGGCACGGAGCCTGCTTAGGATTCTCTCTCTGGCACTCTCTCTCTCTCTCTTTTACTCTCTCTCTCAAAATAAATAAATAAACTTTTTTAAAAAAGCAAAATCAGTGAAATAGAAAACAGAACAAGGAAATTGAGAAAAACAATAAAACCAAAAGGCAGGAAAATAGAGAGGAGACACAAATGACCAGGAGTGTCAGGAATGAGGGAGGTCACATCACCAGATGCCACAGATATTAATGGGATAAGAGAACAACTTCATGCCAATAAATTCAACAACCGACACAAAATGGACAAATTAAAAGACACAGGCTAGCCAAGTTTACGCAGGAAATAGACAATCGGAGGAGCCCTTTATCTATGCAGGCAGTTGGGTGTGTAGCTAAAAGCCTTCCCGCAAAGACAACTCCTGGCCCAGTTGGCTCCACTGGTAAATTCTACCAAACATTTAAGGAAGAAATGACACCAAAACCAGAGAAAAACATTATAAGAATTTTAAAAACTACAGACCAACGTCCCTCCATGAACACAGTTGCAGAAATTCCAAACAAAATTTTAGCAAATGAAATCCAACAATACAGAAAAAGGACAAAATTTCATGAGTGGGGTTTGTCCCAGGAATGCAAGTTTGGGCTCATATTTGAAAATCTATCAGGGCACCCGGGCGGTTCAATCAGTTAAGTGTCTGACTTTGGCTCTCAAGCCTCACGTTGGGTTTTGTGCTGACAGCTCAGAGCCTGGCGCCTGCTTGGGATTCTGTATCTCCCTCTCTCAGCCCCTCCCATGCTCATTCTCTCACTCTCTCTCTCTCAAAAATAAACAAATTTTTTTTTTAAAAAAAGAATACCAAGATCACCGCTTAGAGAAGTAAATAATCTCAAAAATCTCCCTTTTGAAATACCCAATAAAGTGACAAGTCTATTTTTTAAAAATAGTTTACGTATTATATTACTAAATATATGATTCATATTTATACTATATATAATATATAGTACATATAATGTGGATAATATATAGTAATATATAGTAAATATATTATTATATTTACATATTATACAACATTCTAAATCATATTCTATTCTAAATATGGACAGGACATCTTGCTTAAAACTTAGCAATTTTTGTTGCTTATTTTACAAGGTGGATCTCTTTTTTTTATTTTTTTAACATTTGTTCATTTCTGAGAGATGAGAGAGACAGAGCGTGAGCGGGAGGGGGGGCGCAGAGAGAGAGAGGGAGACACAGAATGGGAAGCAGGCTCCAGGCTCTGAGCTGTCAGCACAGAGCCCGACGCAGGGCTTGAACCCATGAACCATGAGATCATGATTTGAGCTCAAGTCCGATACTTAGACTGAGCCCCCAGGCGCCCCAAAAGCTGGATCTCTTTTATACATATTAAATAGGTTTGTTTGTTTGTTTGTTTGCTAAGAACCAGGTGATGTGAGCAGAGTGAGAGAAGGTTCCACGCTTAGACCTTTCAAACGTCTATCAAGCACAAAAATGTTGAGAACTTGGGGCAAATCTTTAAATTGAGCATTATAATTAGCTTCAACAGTATATGACTTAAAATAGCTTTTTCCTGACACCCGTCTTTCCAAATCCCCAAGAACAAAAGAAAAGTGAAAGCTTTCTATAAATACTTGACAGTGTGTCGCAGAGATGACTGTCTGTCTAACCATGGTTTCAGGACACTTTTACTGGCTTCCGTCTCGTTAGGTACTCAGTGCTTGGACAGGTATGACAAGCTCGCACCGCAGAATCAGGCTCCCAGAGCAACATGCAATCACAAGCTCTTCCTACAAAATGCCAGTCTCGTAAAAGTGACGCTATTCCACAGACATTTGGAGTTTTCCCAGATCACCCAATTTACCCCATCGTTAGTCAGGAGCAGCGAACACTTACTTCCTTCAACTTCCTCATCTTCGCAGGTTTTCTGGAAACTATATGAATATAACTGCAAAAGAAGAAAGAAACACCTAATTAGAAAGTAAACATTGAGGTGGAAAATCTGAGCCTCTTCAGAGAGGACTCCTTTTCAGCATGCGGACCTGCAAATCCACAGCAACTTAAAATGCAAGTCAAGAGTGCACAGTGTTCCATTGATGTAGAGCAGCAATGTCATGGGGGAACGTTATGGACAACGTCCCACTGGCTGCCGTCGGCATGGCCCGTGGGAAACTGTCACCTAATGACACTCTTTCTCCTATGACATTATTGGTCACAAAGGGAACTTGGCAATCATGTATTCAACTTCCTTTTCTTTTTTTAAATTTTTTTAATGTTTTATTTATTTCTGGAAGAGAGAGAGAGAGAGGGACAGCTTGAGCAGGGGAGGGTCAGAGAGAGAAGGAAACACAGAATCTGAAACAAGCTCCAGGCTCTGACTACTTGTCAGCACAGAGCCCGACACGGGGCTTGAACCCACAAACCATGAGATCATGACCTGAGCCGAAGTCGGACACTTAACTGACTGAGCCACCCAGGCGCCCCTCAATTTCCTTTTCTACCAGGTCACCGAAGGTCCCAGAAATGAGCTCATCCAGAGTCCCACAGATTGGCCAGAGTCAGAGCACAGTGCCTCCCCATGCAGCTCATCACCACCTGCACCGTCTCCTCCTGTCACACAGAATTACATCACTGTCCCCATCTGCCCAACACTGAACACCAGGAAAAGCCACGAGAAAAGCACACGTAGGAGTCCTGCTAATACAGCTTTTGACACTTGGGGACTTTTGGAGGGCTCTTCATATGCCACAAAAATAGAACAGATATTTTTTCATGATAATAAATACCTTAATTTTTTATCTTTCAAGATTTCTTCCTGATTAAAAAAATTACGTATTTGATTAGAAAAAGCACAAGTGCAAAATCTAACAGCTCACCTAAAGGAACGAGAGGGAGAGCAGCAAGAGCACCCCAAACCCAGGAGAAGAGAAATAATAAAAATCAGGGCAGAAATAAATAGAGAAACCAAAGAAACAGTTGAACAGATCAATGAAACCAAGAGTTGGTTTTTTGAAAAAAATAAACAAAATTGACAAACCTCTAGCCAGGCTTCTCAAAAAGAAAAGAGAGGGCACCCAAATAGACAAAATCATGAATGAAAATGGACTTATTACAACCAACACCTCAGAAATACAAGCAATTATTAGGGAATACTATGAATAATTATATGCCAACAAATTGGACAACTTAGAAGAAAAGGACAAATTCCTAAACACACACTCACTACCAAAATTCACACAGGAAGAGATAGAAAACCTGAACAGACCCATAACTAGTGAATAAATTGAATCAGTTATCAAAAATCTCCCAACAAATAAGAGCCCTGGGCCAGATGGCTTCCCTGGGGAATTCTACCAGACATTTAAAACAGAATTAATACTCATTCTTCTCAAGCTATTCCAAAAAAATAGAAATCGAAGGAAAACTTCCAGACTCATTTTACGAAGCCAGCATTACTTTGATTCCCAAGCCAGACAGAGACCCAGCAATAAAAGAGAACTACAGGCCAATATCCTTGATGAATACGGATGCAAAAATCCTCAACAAGATTGCTGCTGTTTCTGAGGGTTTTAGCAATATCCAGAGAAGTACTGGCTACATTGGCAGCTGGAAGGAAAAAGGAATTACAAAGTACTCGATAGAGTCCAGGGTCACAAGCCAGGCACCCGCAGAGGCCAGGCCAGTAGTGTCAACGCTCCCCCCAGGGCAGCATTCCGGAAGGGGAGGAGCGGAGCGGGGAGTGCAAGGGCACCTCCCTCTCTCTTCCAGGGTGAGCCCCGCCCACAGCCCCAGGGCAGTTTCCATCTGAGAATTGGGGCAACTAAACAGTCCTTCTGAACAATCAAATCCTCCATTTATTTTTCAATTAAACTAAAATTCTATACTGTTCCATGAACTTCCTCATTACAAAATGTCCAACCAATTCACATCTTAGAAAACTATGATCCAAACTAAATATGGCAGCACTTAACCCCACCACCACCACCACCACCTCCGCTGGCCAGCCCTTGGGTGAGCTCTTCCCATTTTAAACCCCCATATTCCGTGTTTGATTGTGACCATTAATCCCCACATGAGACAACTTGTTACATCAGTAAATGGAAACAAAAAGTAAAAATAAGGGCAGAAACACTAAGGCATAAAAACCTCCTGCAAAAAAAAAGAAAGAAAGAAAGAAAAAGAAAGAAACATAAAACACCGTTTGTTTCAATGCTGCATCCCAAAGGACGCGTAAATAGAACCGAAAGAGGGGACAAGTGCTTGCTCAGAGATCCGGTGAACTGGGGTCTCCAAGCCGGGTGCTTGGGGATGGGATCGCGGGGGCGTGGGTTTCCCTGGGGTGGCGGCAGGGGGACAGGCAGCTGGAGCCGATACTGGCCGTTCACATGCAGCGCCCCTCCTTGCTGCTTCCAGAGAATCAAGGAAAGGAAGGAGCCAGCCATGAGAATCAAGCCAGCACCTGCAAGTGCTGCGTCCATCGCGTTGTCACAGTGCCACTCTGGATGGGAACCAAGCCCACTGCAGTGGTGAGGACCCGGGTCCCCAGCAAGGGCACTCAGTGTGCTCACTGCTACTGAGATAAGGAAAAGCCAGGACGCAGTTCAACCTAATTCATCCCCTTCTGCCCCTGAGACCACGTCCCTGCCTCTGGCCCAGCTGCTCTCTGTCCCTGCCCCCGCTATCCTCAGCATACAAGTGGGTGGCAAGGAGACAGAGTAAAGTTGGGGTGCAGGCCAACTATGATAGTGTTATCGAAAGGTCCTTCACCTCGTACCTCGACAACAAACTCATAAGGCAAAGAGGAAAAGTTCCTGGGGCAATCCAAATTCTTTGGGGTCTCCCCCAAACTTGTGCACACACGCAGGTGCACATGCAGTGCCCTGATTTACACTTTTTGTGTGTGTGAATATGGCTTTCTCCACGAAATAATCATGAATTCTAAGCTTTACAGGATATTTTTTAAAGTAATTATTAGCCTATGGGGCGCCTGGGTGGCTTAGTCGGTTAAGCGTCCGACTTTCGCTTAGGTCGTGGTCTCGCGGTTTGTGGGTTCAAGCCCCACGTCGGGCTCTGTGCTGACTGCCAGCTCAGAGCCTGGAGCCTGTTTCAGTCTGTGACTCCCTCTCTCTCTGACCCTCCCCTGCTCACGCTCTCTCTCTCTCTAGAAATAAATTAAAAAAAACCTTAAAAAATTTTTTTTAAAAATAAATAAATAAATAAATAAAAAGTAATTATTAGCCTATAATATTTTGTTCTATAGTAGAACAAACCATGTTCTTCATCTCAAATTCATTCTTTCTAGAAAATGCGGGAGATGTTTGAGTAATGATCGGATTTTATGTAGATATGATGGGGTTTGGTCTCTTCGGTGTAGTGTTCTGCAGCCCTTGTTTCTAGAAGAGTCCAGGATGGCTGATACATTGTCAGGTCTCACAGCAAAGCTCACTTGCTGGTGGCGCAGTGAGGAGGTTATTTGCTGGAGAAAATTTTAATTGCTCACTGGCTCGGTGACTACAGAATATATGTTCTGACAAGCGCTAGCCTACCAATACCAGCAGAAATCAAGCCAAAATATTTCCCAGAGCTGTATTCCCCCACATCTGGATGCTGATTTCATGCTTCCTTGATCTAAACAGCGGTGAAGACAGGGAAGCCTAAACGACTCTCCCTGATGAGTGTCACACACAAATAGCAGCCATCCTCCCGCAGCACCGAGGCCACACGGATGATGCCGAGAACCGAGTCTTCGGCCACGTGACAGCCCCGTCCGGCCTCTGCTCTCCCATCCGTGGACCGGACCACGCTGTCTCCCTCTCGGAAAACAATAACAAACACTAAGAGATCTGGGGAGAGAAACTCCTCAAAGTCTCAGTATTTCAGCCACGTGTCCCAAGTATTTCACATAAACTACACAAGTTTCCCTACCAAAGCAGGGGTCTAATAGGGTGTCTTAGAAAATGCCTCGACCCACAGGACAGAAGAGAAGCATGTGCTGAACATGTTACGGGCACGTTCGCCCGTGTTTCCCGAGCTTCCTTCCTCATCAGCTTCCAGGTAAAACACATGTGATCTTTACAAGGAAATGTTTTGGGCAGGAAAGTTAAATACTCTTCATTACACATGCATGGAAAAGGATTTTAAAGTCCATTTTAGTATGAATATATTCTTCTGTTTTGTAAAGCAACACTGGATACTGGATGCTGGTGGGAAATCGGAATTCAGCACATGCAGTGTCTAAGCCTGTTTGGGCTGTGGCAGCAGAGATACCCCAGACCGCGTGGCTTCAACAACAAATATTTATTCCTCACAGTTCCAGAGGCCGGGAGTCTGAGGTCCAGTGCCGGCATGATGGGGTTCTGGGAGGGACACTATTCCTAATGCATTCATGGCTGCCTTCTTGCTGGGTCCTCACTTGAAGGAAAAGGTAGGGAGCTCTCTGGGGTCCCTGTCATAAGGACCCAATCCTTATGGGTCATGAATCCCATTCATGACCATTTCGCTGTCATGACGTAATCACCTCCCAAAGGCCCTACCTCCGAATAACCACAGAGGGGATTAGGCTTCAACATATAAATTTCTACAAGACGCAATAATTCCATTTACAGCATAGTTATAGTTGTATATAACCTAGCATGCAACTAACCCTGAAAAAAATCATCACAAAGTCAAACATCTACAAAGGGCTATCTATATTCTTGTCAGTGAGTTCTCACACACAACAGGATTGTCATTGTAATAAATTTGAATCTAAAATGTCATGGCATTAATCCAATACCTCTTGGCAATTCAAATGTCTGTGGACTGAGATTTTCCTTCAAAAACAAGAGGATGTTAAATCTGCATCTTTGTGATGCCATTAAGAATTCGGATCACGGGGCGCCTGGGTGGCTTAGTCGGTTAAGCGTCCGACTTTCGCTTAGGTCATGACCTCGCGGTTTGTGGGTTCGAGCCCCGCATCAGGCTCTGTGCTGACTGCCAGCTCAGAGCCTGGAGCCTGTTTCAGATTCTGTGTCTCCCTCTCTCTCTGACTCTCCCCTGCTCACGCTGTCTCTCTCTCCTAGAAATAAATAAAACACTGAAAAAAAATATTAAAAAAAAAAGAATTCGGATCACAAGCCAACTTCCTCATAAAATTACACTATCTGGGCGGTCCCACAAAACTCACGTTACTGGCTGAATTCGGAGTGTCTCTGGGCAGATAGCACTGTCAGCACGCAGAAGAGGAACCAGACATCTAACAAGATACTGAGGAATTACCAGGCCAATATCCAGGAAATAAAGGAAATCCTAAGACATGAGCCCAATTCCTGGGGCCACTTTCGCCCAGGGGTAACTGTCCACAACGGACAGATGGCAGAGAGGTTGAGTCATAGACAGGCTCTGGGGCCAACAGGCAGAAGTACGTGCTCAGGGCGCAGCAGCAGCCGTGGCTGTTTCCGAACGACCCCTCTTTGTCAGCTGGGGCCCCAGTGGGGTCCATCCTGTCTTCAGGCCGTCTGGGTGGCACCAACCATCTCACCTTCTGAAGCTGCACGAAGGTGCTCGTGAGCCGTTGATGACAGGCATCTGTCCACAGCATACAACAGGCAACTTTGGCGAAAGACAGAATCACCCTGGACTTCAAATTATTTCTCCAAATGAGTTTGAAAGTCATGTCCAGCACAGGAAGATAAATAGGCAGAGAGAGAGGAGACAGCATAACAGAACCAGCAGTAAGGACGTCCACCGCAGCTTCAGCCTGCCTCCCTCCCGGATCACTGCTGCTGGGAGAGCCGGCTGCTAAGTCACCTACGGAGAGGCTCCACAGCAAGGACGAAGCTTCCTGGCTCGGCGCCGGGAAGCACCCTCCCCGGTCAGGCCTTCAGATGACGTTGGCCGGCGTTCTGATTGCAACCCCAGGGGCGTCTGTAGCCAGAACTGCTCAGCTAAGCTGCTCTCGAATTCTCAAATTCACAGAGGCCGCGAGAGAATAAAGCTGTTTTAAGCCAATACACCCGGAGTGATGATTGGTTATACAGCAATAGATAACTAACACCCTCCTAGAGAGACTCTAACCCGTACACCCGCAGACATGTAAAGGAATGTTTACAACAGTGTTGTTTACTTTAGCATAAAATTACGAACCACCCAAATTATCCATCAATAGATGGGACAAGAAAACGTGTTTTAGTCGATGGAAATAACACATGGCGGTGAAAGGATTGCCCTACAGCTACACACCGTTGACATGAATGAGTCTCACAATGCAGTATGTGTGAAAAAGCACCAACAGAAAACTGTATACAGTGTAATTGCATTTATATAAGGTACACGGCCATGGATCGTAGAAAAATCTGTCCTCTTGGGGATGCCTTCTTACAAAAGGATGGTGATTACAAAATACTGGTTACCTGTGGGGAAAGGACGGGGCTGGAGGTGGCAGGTTTTAAAATACTGGTTGTGTGAGCACTGAGTGTTATGTGGAAACTAATTTGACAATAAACTATTTGTAAAATAAATAAATAAATAAATAAATAAATAAATAAAATACTGGTTGTGCTCTTTTTTAATCCGCACTGTGGTTGACACAGAGTTTTGCTTAAACTCTACACAGAAGTGTATACACTCCCGTATGTAACATACATTTCACAACGAAAGAAATGGAGTCAGCAACAGCATAAATAAAGGCAATATATCTCTGAAAGGCAGACGGAGATAGAGGTCAGGAGCTCACGGAGGATAAGAAACCATTTTCCCTCTTGCACTTTGTAAAGGAAGCCTTTTCAGGGGTCCTGAGCCTAAACCAGAGTCTGTCATGGGGTGACCCCTTTCTCTTCCGCGGCAATTTGTTTCTTACCTCCCCCTAAACATACATTGTAAAAGCTCTCACAGCCCGTGCAGCTACGCCGTGGGAAGAAGAGAAGAACTGGAGCTTGAATTTCGGGTTGCAAAGACATCTGTAGGAGGACAGCTGCTAAGAAAGCTTAGAAAAATCGCAAGGGGACTGGAATACTCTTGAGAAGTCTGGGTGGAATAAACAGAACTCTGTGTATAACCCCATATGCAGTAAGATCTCACAGAGGTTGTGATACGAGTCTGAGGCAAAACCAAGGGGGGAAAAAATCAAACTGGCATCTTGAGCGGACACCACCCAGTACGACTAGCAGCGGACAATGGCCGGTTTCCATCGGGACGTCCTGCAGCGCCAGGCAGGTGCGCACAGAGCCGTTCCCCAGGACCCCACCCGCTGTCTTGATCTCAGCGGACACTGGGGAGGGGATTTCTTTGCTCCCCAGGAACATTCAGAGTCTGTGCTGTGGGCCAGCATCGCCTCGAGTGCCAGGATTCTGGAGATGACGGCTCGACGCCTGCCCTCGGCTGGGTCACAGTCTAGCAAGAGACACGGCCGGGAGACACGCCGATTACACAGCTTAGCGAGTGCCTTCCTAGGCGAGCGGGCCTCCAGGGAGGGCGGAACGCGGGTCTGGGGCAAGCCGTGCTGGGGTGACGGGGGTGACTCCTGCCTCCTCGCGCGCTTCCCCGGTTTTCCTGGGCCCGGCTAACTGCCTTTATTCCTTCGGATCCTCGCCCAAGGTCGCCTTTCAGGGAGGCCTGCCCTCTTGACCGCAGCCAGCCCACTCCTCCCACGTCCCTTCGGACTCTCTCTAACCGACGACGTGCTGACGGAAGGTGAAGGCCAGCCCTGCCTGCGGCCAGCGGGGCAGAGCAGGCTGCGCGCACGGGGGAGCGGGGCGCACGGGCGAGCGGGGCGCACGGGGGAGCGGGGCGCACGGGGGAGCGGGGCGCACGGGGGAGCGGGGCGCACGGGGGAGCGGGGCGCACGGGGGAGCTGCACACACCGGCGAGCGGGGCGCACGCGCGAGCGGGGCGCACGCGCGAGCTGAGCGCACTCGCCGCGCGCAGACGGAGACAGGCGCACCGCCAGACTCGCCGGGTCGCCGCGCAGGGAGGGGCGCAGACTCACTCGAGCTTCCTGAAGGGCTCGCGGCCGGCCGCCACGTACTTGCCGCCCGCCTGCAGCGCCTGCAGCTCGCGCACCGGGTGCCCGCGGGTGGGCGTGAGCAGGCGCCGCACGCAGAACGGCGCCTCCACCTGCCGCGTCAGCTGCTCCAGCAGCGCCTCGAAGGTGGTGGCGCGCAGCCGCGGCACCACGAACTTCCGGCCCGCGAAGAACGCGTCCCCGTTGCGGTACACCAGGATGGTCTTGGCCGGCGTGGTGTCCGCCAGCGCGTGCGGCTCGCGCGCGCCCATGGCCGTGCCACCGGAGGGCCACCGGCCACCGCTCGCTGCGCTGAGAGCGCGCCGTGGGCACCCAGGGCGCCGGAGCGGGACTGCGGGCGGCACAGCCCCCGGATGCCGCTGACGCACCCCGCATTGTGACCGCCTGCGTCCGGAGGGAAGCCAGCCAGGTGGGGGCGGGGAGGGGGCGTCCGAGAGGGCGTGGCGGAGCCTGTCTGTGATCCACTTCTCTGCGAAGTGGCGGGAATGGAGGCTGGGGACACTCACGGCGACCTTCCCGCTACGTTGCCAGCCTCCTGTGCAGAAGAGGTTGAGAGCTGGGCACCAGGACCGTCTGAACAATCACCTGTGTCCGGAGGAGCTGTATGGACCCATTCGGAGCATGGAGACGCCGAGTTACCAGTGCCTGCGAGCACTCAGTGTCCCAGAGGCTTGGCAGTCAGAATGCACCCTCATTCGGGGAAGAACCCCTCAAGGGGGCGTGTGTCCTTGTGACAGTCAATCCTTATTCTGGGTACCAATGGGCCAGTCCTCTTGAGCTGGACAATGAATGATTCCAAAAACACATTTTTCCAACCATTTTGATGGGCTTAAACTTTTAAAGACAATACTCTGTGTATTACTTGCCGAATCTACATGCAGAGGGTACAGAATACAATTCTGTAAATATCAGTATCATATAGTGTTTGTTCTAGAGTAATCTTTAAGAGACCACCTGTCTTTCACCACCACAGGTGACTTGTAACCCACCGAATGCTCCACAGCAACAGTAAACACACGTAGCGATGTGTGAGCGTGACCAGTTTATTAAATCATAGGAATTCTATTGATCTTAAAAAGATTAATTGCGAGAAACCTCTGAAGTTTCAGGTGTTAAACACACTTCAAGAGAAGAATACGACGGAGCGCTTCCGTAGCCACGCACGGCCGCGCGGACTCAGAGGTTGGCTCGGAAGCCCGCCTTCACGGAGAACCTCATCATGGGCTTCTCCCGGGGGCGCAGGAGGCAGATGGAGCTGGGGAAACCCTTGAGGCGCAGGCGGCTCACGCCCCCGTCCGGGGCGATGGTGAGTCTGGCGTGCGTGATGACGTCCTGGAGCTCCAGGGTCAGGCTGTCGAACAGGTGACTTTCGTTGGGGGACAGCTGAAAGGGAGGCAGGACACAGTCCTTGTGATAACGCGGAGCGAGGCCCAGACGGGCGGTGTGGACTCAGAGCCCGTGACCGAGGAAAGTTACTCCCTGATAACAGGTTGGCTTACCACAGAGAAAAGCTAGCAGGGCTCAAACGCCAGGGCAATACTGACATGAACACTCGGGCCCATGATGTGTGTGGTTCTTAATGGTTAATTAAGTGGACGCACTGATAAGAAAAAGAAAGTGAGAAGTGGGCATATTCGTGCCTCCTAGAGGTCATCACCCATCACCACGTGGGAGCACCCCTCATCCCCACTCTGACCCGCAAAGGACTATCCTTCCACTGGATCGAAGAGGACCTTCTGGAACATCTCAGTGTCTATCCCACAAGAGGACACATTGTTACAACTTTAAATATATTAGTCACCCCTTCTAGAAAGTGAATACACTGCAAAAACATTTTCCATACATATTCTTTGTACATGATGGTTTAAAACAACACTTGGTTGTTAGAAATGCAAAGGAATGAAAAACTAGAGCCTGTCTGTCTATTACATAAATGCACAGATATGGTTTTTAGAAGCTTGTGCGTTTTACTATTTAAACTGAGTAGGGGCGCCTGGGGGGCTTGGTCGGTTAAGCGTCCACTTTGGCTCAGGTCATGATCTCACAGTTCGTGGGTTCGGGCCCCGAGTCAGGCTCTGTGCTGACAGCTCAGAGCCTGGAGCTGCGTCGGATTCTGTGTCCCCTTCTCTCTCTGACCCTCCCCTGCTCACGCTCTCTCTCTCTCTCTCTCAGAAATAAATAAAACATTTAAAAAATGTTTTAACTGACCAGAAGGTTTGGAAAGCAGGGTCCCCGTGGACGCCATACCTTCGTGACTGGAAGCAGCGGTTTCCACTTATGTCCGGGAAGCTCCCACCTCTGCTTGATCATGTCTTCCTCCTCCTGAGTCGTCAGGATACAGCCGTCCAGCTTACAGCTGTCAGGAGAATTGCCTGTTGGGACAAATTCAGGGTCAGATCCTCCACTCTGCTTGCCCTCGGCAGTTTGGCTGACCTCTGTGTCAAATCAAAGACCCAGCAGAGGACAAATCATTGTTCCCCCTAAAGAAAAGCAAAGATAGGATGCATGTGAGAGAAGGAATGTACCCATCCGTGGCAGAGCGGGATTGCCTGATGAAATATGCGTGTGTTCGTTTTTCAGAGGAATCAAAATCCGCTTGATGTACGTTAATGGGCTGGCACCTTTGAGTCTGCACGTACGGCATTTTACTTAAGAAGGTGAAGGCATCTGATAAGCATCCCCGCCTGCCGAGTTAACTACTTGCATATTGCTGTGTGGCTCATCTCAAGCTATTACGAGGCTGGAAGACACTTTCCTCATGGCACCATATTGTGTCACGTGAAATAAAAGGAAAGACTGAGCTGAGTTAATGAGTCAGTGCTTGGCATCGACCCCACGTGCCATCTTCCACGTGTGCTAAGCTTTCTCTGGGCGAAACATGTGATCCTGAGTCTCTCTTCTCTCTGGAATTTCGTCAGAATCATGTCCAGTGGGGTTAGAAGACCTTAGGGGAAAGGGCCCCACACTCTTCGGGGGGGAGAACTGCTATGAGGGTCCCCTAAGACTCTAAGATCAGCAGAGGAGGGGGTTCTGATTACAGAAAAAAATACTCAGTGCTCTCATGCCCCTAGCAGCTCATTTCTTAAAGCAGTGACCTCCAGGGTGTGACACAGTCCTGGGTGACATGGAAACCCGAACGATGCAGGAAGAGAACATTAAAGCCACTATTTCTGTTTCTGTGTCTTTGATATCCATATGCACACATGCATATCTATTAGGCTCCCTCGGGCCGTGACTGTGCTGTTGTGATGGGCAGAACCGAGAGGGTTAGCAGCAAATTCATGACGGCACAGCCTGGCCTCCCTGGTTACCTGGATGTACCGACTGGTACCTGGTGTTGACGAAACTCTCACTCACAAAATCAACACGTGATTTACATCGTCCATGGACTGAAGCTACTCCCAGAAACACAAGCACCCGCGAACCACAGGAAAACAGCAGAGCTGACACCCCCCCCCCCCAATCCAAGATGGGCTCATCAGCTGTGCTGGAAAGTGATCGCAGTGACCCGCTAATTGGATCTAAAATGGTTTCCAAAAATGGGTCTCAATTATCAATACTGTATCTTAAAATAATTAACTTAAATCCATACTGTATCTTAAAATGATGAAATCCACTACCACTGAAGGAAAACCTTGCCTTAAATATATATGGTGCCCTGGTGTAGTAGTTAATAACTGCGTGAAGCCTCAATGATTTGCAAGACGTTTAAACATCAGGCATCCGGGGCGCCTGAGGGGCTTAGTCGGTTAAGCATCCGACTTCGGCTCAGGTCATGATCTCACGGTTTGTGGGTTTGAGCCCCGCGTCGGGCTCTGTGCTGACAGCTCAGAGCCTGGAGCCTATTTCAGAGTCTGTATCTCCCTCTCTCTGACCCTCCCCTGCTCACACTGTCTCTCTCTCTCCTAGAAATAAAATAAAAAAATAAAAAATAAAAAAAATAAACACCAGGCATCCAAAGTATGAATATAAACTGCCACCGTTTACTAAGATAGCAAGCAGTCAGGAGACACGCAGCCCAGCACTTACCAAAACGTCACCCGACAATGATAAAGGCTTAATAACCCCTCTTGAACTTTGTCAATGTAATGACGCAGGTATATATTTCATAAGAAAGTAGGTACTTTTATAAGAAAGTACCAGCGGTGCTTGTCCAAATATGTTTTTACAAATAGAAGTGCGTGGCTTTGAAAACGTGTAACTCCCTGCCTTACAAGCCCAGCCTGGAGAGGAAATGCCCCCCCACCGATCTCCCTAGCCCTCTCCCCCCATGAGAACATGGCCTATCTAGTTCTTCTTATGCCCCAAGCAGGGGCCACTGCACAGGCTCTTTCCCAATGAGATTCAGGACCCCTCTAGTAAAGAGTCACAGCATCACAGAATCCCGGTTGACTTTGGGGAGTCACCCAGTTCAACTCTGACATTTATAAAGGGGGAAAGTAGGGCCCCCAGAGCTAAAGGAAGTTGCTGAAAATGGCACATCCAGAGAGTGGAATAGCCAAGCGCTGAGCCCACCGTCATGAGCCCTACTCCCATAGATGACGTTATCTCTGTAACCAGCACACGGGTTCTCTGTGCTTCCTGGTTTTACGTTTACCTTTAAAATATGTTGTATCGATTTCAATTTGAGTTATTACTCCAGGGTGTGCCAGCCGGAAGACTGCCCATTCACAACCCGTAACAAGGAGACTACCGTTCTTGTCATTCTGGAATTCAAAAGGAGAAAGAAGAAAGGAAGCCAACTCGGTGCCATTTAGGAAACAAATTCTGAAAGCCAGCAAGCGAAAAATGTCGACATGTGCTGATGATATGTCTTTTATTTCTTACTACAGAAGAGTGTTTCCTATGCCCTGGTACGTAAGTTACCTTTTGTGTTAATTATTCCTTAAATGCCTCGTGCGGACTCGTGAGCTTATTGGGTAATTGCCACGTTTCTATACATTTCTGCTGTGATCTTCTATGTCAGTTGTAAATCTTTGTAGAAGGAGACAGAGGGTCTGTATCTAACCCAGCCCCCAAGTGTTACTCTAATCAATTCGTTTGGACCTTTCAGAATAGATACGTTCTTGGTCAAGTAATCTGCCTGCAGACCTTAGTTTCTGGCAATGGGAATTTGTTCGCTTCCATTGGAAGTAATGGTTGACATGGAGACTAACCCAAGAAAGGGGTGTTTTTCAGGGAAGTTTGGAGTGGGATTAACAAATTGAAAGGTGTTTTGTTTTGCTTTTGTTTTGACTTTCCCATCTCATGCTCGTTACTAGCCAAAATGAAGAGCTGGGCCGGCTCTAGAGTCGCCTCGCCCCCACACAGTCATGTAGGTGATCTCATCCAGGGACACAGAGGTACCAGAAATGATTACACTGGCTTTTTCCTCCAGGTCAACCAACAAATTCATCCATGGGTTTTATATCATTAAATTGTAGGTCCTCTTGTTTCTTTATGACAGAAGCAGGGATATTTCAACCATTCATTGGAGCAGCAGGCGCGGCCAGCATGGGCACCTTCTGGGTCCTGCCCTGATGTTACCGCGAAGCGGTGGGCAATCCGGAAAACCACGAAAAGTACTTCTGGAACGCTGCCTACGAGGTTTCAGAAGGAAGCACTTCCTTAATGTAAATTTGAAACAAGATACAGGAAACTCTGAATCGTGGCCGTTTTGAACTTCTTACCTCTAATACCGGTGGCCTGTCCAGTCTTCTTGCGGTCTCCCAGCCATCAGCCATAGACCTAGCTTTGCCAACTCCTGCCGAAAACGACATCGTTTAGCGGGAATATCACAGGATTTTATCTTAAATGTGAGAATGAATGCATGGGCGTAATGAAATTACAGATCTCTTGTGCCTGAATGTTGCTACACAAATTATTACCACTCAACTTAATGTTTTGATAAATTCGCCTACAGCCATAGGGTAAGTTTTACTTTTCCCTTTAAGCCAAAATTAGGAAAGAAAATTAGGAAGGAAAACTGATTTACTTCATGTCATAAAGGCATCAAATCCCATGTGTAGATGGTTAATCTCATCCACTCCAGGGCTCCCTCTTAAATTGTTCATAGCGTATTGGGGTGCTTGATGTGGTGCCCAGATGCCCCAAATGCAGGCCAGCTCCCACACCAGCATCTCACCTATCATATTGTTTGGATGCCCAAAGTGTGCATCGCTGAATCCCACGCAGGCGCCCCCGTGAGCGAGGGCCACGAGATCAAACGGTTCCTTCGGATCAGTTGTGGCCCAGTCCTTCTGTCCGCTACCGTACGCTCTGAGACGTGCAATCCCACCGTCTGAGAAGGAAAGAGGCCGTGGCTATTTCTTGCTCGGAAAGGGGGCTGTTTGTGGATCATAAACGACAAAGCCCTCCACACCTGCCCACTCTGTTTCTCGAATACACCAACCCTACCTCCCCAGGGCCTTTGCACCCGCCATTCCCTTGTACTGGAACTACTTTCCCAGCTCTGCAAAAGACCACTTGTTGTCCTTAGGTCTCACCGTATGTGCCATGGCCCCAGAGACACACTTCCTGCTACTGTCTCGTCCTCTCCCTCCAGCTCTGCCTAGCCCGGTGAGCCATCATTCCCTCCTGCATCTTTATGCCAGAGCTCAAATCACAGTCTGCAATTATCTTGCCATTTGTTTGTTTAAGCCCCTGCTGGTATCAGATCCCAGAACCAGAATATAAAACCTTTGAAAGCCAGAATAATGACCTATCTTGTTTGCTTCTCCATCGCCTCTACCTAGTACTGGTCCTGGCACACAGCAGGTGCTGACATTTCTTATTGGATTAATAACTCCAGGAAAGTCAAAAGGCAATTGGGAAATCCACCGTTGATATAATGTTTGGAGCCACAAGTTAGCGTTGCTAAATCCCACACAGACTCATATGAGGGGCTTGCATTTTTATTTTTGTAAAAACAGTGATTAAGAGGAGAGAAGATAGTGGTGCCTGGATGGCTCAGTCGGTTAAGCGTCCGACTTCAGCTCAGGTCATGATCTCACAGTTCACGGGTTCAAGCCCCGCGTCGGGCTCTGTGCTGACAGCTCAGAGCCTGGAGCCTTTTTCGGATTCTGTGTCTCCCTCTCTCTCTCTGATTCTCCCCTGCTCATGCTGTCTCTCTCTCTCTCAGAAATAAATTAAAAACATTAAAATTTTTTTAAAAATTAAAAAAAAGAAGAGGGAAGATAATATCACAAAACCAAATTGCTTCTGAAACCACAGCAGCCAAGATTTAGGTCCACAGAGCAGACAGTAGCCGCCAACATCAACTCACATTCTCTGATCCTAATAAAGTGAATACTTTTATGTGTTTAAATAGTTCTTCCGGGAAGATGGGAGCAAGCTTTGCATATACTGCTTTTTTTGTTAACCACAGTATTTTCCTGAAACCAAGCCCTCATACTGTTACACAAAAAATGATGAAAGTGAACGATCAGGAAAACATTCAGTAGAATGGTCTTGATATTTACAATAAATAAAAACAGACTGTGCTAACATAAAACCCTAAGAATTACGCCAGAGGGGGCATTCAGCAGAAACTAACATAGGAGAGCCATTCTCGTGGCACAAGCTGATTTTAGATTTTTAAAAAATAAGATTCTTCCTGACAGAATTCATATCCAGCCTCACCCCTAATGAAAACATCAAGGATATGCCCACTCCATGCTCTGAGACTGACTCCTTTAAAGCAACTTATCGTCACCCCAGGAGAAAACACTGCTTCCTTCCCCTTATACTTGAACTCCAGGAGGAAACATTTGTAAATCTGATAAAGGATTTGTACCTGGATATATAAAGAACTCTGACAACTCAACAATAAAAGACAAAAGCTCACCTTACAAAAGGGCAAAAGATCTGAAAAGATACCTTTCCAAAAATACATATACGTATGTGTGTGTATATATATATGACCTGCATATAAACAACACATACAAATGGCCAAGCATGGAGCTGAAAATATGCCCATCATCATTAGTCCTAGAGAAATGCAAATCAAAACCACAGGGCGATCCCGCGGCACACCCTCTAATAGGCTACAATCAACCAGGCGGGTGATAGTGAGAGTTGGCAAGGATGTGGGAGGGGACGTCCTCCCACAGCTGGTGAGAACCTAAGGCGTGCACCCATTCTAGAAAACAACCCGATAGTTCCTCCAGCGATTAAAATTACAGCTACCAGGGCATCTGGGTGGCTCAGTTAAGCATCCCGCTCTGGATTTCGGCTCAGGTCATGGTCTCACCGTTCGTGGGATGGAGCCCCATGTCAGGCTCTGTGCTGTGTTGTGAGCCGTTTCTAAACTCATAGGTTGAGAAAAACTCCTTGTGAGGTTAAGGTAAGTTGCACAGACTCTTACCGTCAGATGGCAACCGATATCCACCCCCACCCAATTGTTTCAGCTTGAGCACGGAGCCCCAAGGCACCTTGTTGATTGGTATTCGGAGTGACTCATTCTGGCCTTAATATGCTGACGGCACTTTGTGAAGGAACCTACTGTAGGAACTTCTTCTTTTGTGGTTATGGGAGCAACATTGTGTTTCCTGAAGATCCTGTTTTTCTCAATACTTCCCATTAATCGATAAACAGGCTATTGACTCCTGCGTCCTGACTATGCTAATGCCACTTCCGGGCTGTTCCCCATACACCTGTGCATATCAGTGTTCTGGAAAGTTTTTACTGATAAAAGAACTCATCATCTGAACGCCACCTTTGTGCCATCCCCCAAACACTAAATCATAAAATAGAGTCTCAGGCAGTGTGGAGAGGCCTGGCTGGTGACCAGAAAGAATTTCGTGCCTCTCTCATCCCTCCCTCGCCAACACCGCCCGTCCTTCAGGGGCTCTGGACCCGCCAGAGCGGGACTGGCAGTGCTGACAGCCTGGAGCCTTCTTGGGGTTCCCCTTCTCCTTCTCTCTGCCCTCCCCCGTTCACACACACATGCTCGCTGTCTCTCAAAAAGTTTATTTTTTTAATATTTTTGTTATTGAGAGACAGAAAGAGACAGAATATGAGCATAGGAAGGGAAAGAGATGGGGAGACACAGAATCTGAAACAGGCTCCAGGCTCTGAGCTGTCAGCACAGAGCCCAACTTGGAGCTCGAATTCACAAGCTACGAGATCATGACCTGAGCCAAAGTCAGACACTTGACCAATGAGCCACCCAGGCGTCCCAGGTTTATTTTTTAAAAATAAATAAAAACATAGTTATCCTATGACCCAGCAATTCCAATCCTATGTGTATATCCAAATGAAAAGATATATCCACATAAAACTCGTAAAGGAATATTTATAGCACCATTGTCCACAGGTAGCCAAAAGGTGGAAACAACCCAAATGTTCATGAACAGATGAACTGGGAGGCGCCTGGGTGGCTCAGTCGGTTAAGCATCCGACTTCGGCTCAGGTCGTGATCTCACAGTTCATGGGTTCGAGCCCCGCATCGGGCTCTGTGCTGACAGCTCAGAGCCTGGAGCCTGCTTCAGATTCTGTGTCTCCCTCTCTCTCTGACCCTCCCCTGCTCAAGCTGTCACTCTCTCAGAAATAAATTTTTAAAAAACATTTAAAAATTTTTAAATGTTAAAAAAAACAGATGAACTGGATAAACATTACGGCTTACCCATACATTGGAATATCACTCCTCCATGGAAAGAAGTAAGTACGCCCAACAATGTTACAACGTGGATACGCCTTGAAAACATGCTAAGTGAAAGAAGCGAGTCGCAAAAGACCATTATGTGAAATGTCCAGAATGGTCAACTCTGTCAAGACAGTAAGTAGACTAGTGGTTGCTGAGGGCAGAGAGAGGTGAGGGTTGATGGGAAGGCTACAGGATTTCTTCCTGAGGTGTTACTAGTGCTCTAAAATTGAGTGTGGTGACCGAATATTGCACGTATACTGTGTATTTTTGCAGACTTCAAACCTTACCCTCACGTAAACCATAAACCACTGAACAGTGCACTTCAAGGCGGTGAATTGCATGGTATGTGAATTACATTATAATAAAGCCGTAAATAGGAGAAGATGGGGGTCTTTTGCACACACTTCATCTGCTGGTGCATCTGGCAAAATAGAATTTGTTAGGAGATATTTAACCTGATACAACTCACTTCCATCACATCCTAATTGACCTGGTGCTTTGTCGATAACCACCAACGCATGGGTGGGCAGCAACGAGAATTTCCTTGAGCACAGAAAAGGGTAAACTGTAACCCTAAGATGCTAGAGAGATGGAGGACTTCACCCTGAAACACGCCCACACCAAATCAAGAGGCCACAGAACAGCAGATGGGTCCACGTCATATTTACCCGGAAAAATGTTGAGTCTTATATGAGTCCATCTCTGCTGGGAATTGACAGGAAAATAATTGTGGCTGGAAGCAGGCTTTCCTGGTTTAAGCTCTGTCATGGGAACCAAGTAATTCCAGTCGTTGGACCTTAGCTAGCAATAAATATAAAATGTTAGCAGTGGCTCCAGGGAACAGTAAATTCTCTCACCCTGGTGCTCGCGTGGAGCCTACAGGATAGATACTCTTCGGAATAAAAACTGACAATGGCTGCCTAGTAAAATACTTTCATAAAAATACTAATAAAGATCAAGTCCCGGGTTTAATAAACAGACTAAAGTTCTGAGGGTGTTTTCATCCGGATGGAAATAGGCACCAGGTGATGGGGGGAAGGGGAGGCAGGAACAGGCAGTGAGGGTTGGGAAGAAGGGACAAGATCTGGGATTCCCTCGGACAATTCTAGAAGAATTGCACACCAGGCTTGTCCCCTGGGCCCTGAGACCTGGGGTGAGCAGGCTGCCCCGAATATCGTGACCACTTCCTCCAGATCAGCATTCCTCACACTGAAGGGCCTGTGTGTTGCTCTTATTATTATTTCCCAGTCTGTTGTGGATCAACACTTCCGTAAAACACAATGTAAATTAGTGGCTGGACAAGGCTTTACCAGATTCGTCAAGCGTGACAGGTACATAGAGTCACACTGTCAATTTCTGTACGTATCCCAACAGGGCAGAGGTGGGCAGACCGCCTGGGCCACCCCAGTTGAGACCTCACATGGGCCTTGGCGTGCCCGCCTACGGGGGCACAGGGACCATTTGCAGAGTATCTGCAAAGTCTCACTGGGCAAGTGAAGGAGAGGTGTGCATGCACGGAGTGTCCCTAAGAACAAGAGGGAGGGTCCCTCATGGCCAGGCCTGGGCCACGGCCACCTCGACAAGCCGCCAACCCTGTTAGCGGACGTACCTCAGCAACAGCCTCAAACTCCGCCGGCGTGGCCGTGGCCCCCAACCTGACTCCTCTCTCTGGCATCTGTGGTTCTTTATCTGAAGGCAGATGGATCAACAGGGTTACAGTTTGCGTTCAGAATTACAGAAAATATACTCCTAGTGAGCGCTATGCTCATTTTCATCCGGCCAAATCACCCCAGACACAACCTCTCTTAAGTCAAACTATCAGATGATCAAAGTAATAGACTTGCTGATGTTCCTCGGTATCCGAAATACAGAGTCATTCCAGAAGGTGCTGCAGCGCATTTGGTAGTAGCTTTGCTCGTCAAAGTACCACATAGCAGCTCCGGGGTAAGTCCAGCTGCGGCAAATCTATCTCATGACTAGAGCTTCCAGGAGTTGGCTCAACGGAAGTTCTGGAAAACTGCAAGGTCAAGTCCAGAAGCGGACCTTCCTGCCACGGCGACCTTGGAATCGACACCTGGGCGATCCCGCCTCGGACTCAGACAGTTGCTTCGGAAGGAATCCTCCTATTGGCCTCTGTGCAGCCTCTGCCCTGCCGTCACCTAAGTTCTAGATCCTCCACTGTGAGGGAGCGGGCCCGCGCCTTCCGCAGAGCCTCGTCCAGGGCTGCAGACACAGCGCTGTCAGCGTAAATCTGCCATCTGACACGATTTATCTGCCCTAAATACGTGTATACACACACACACACTGGCCCCTGCTTCTAAAGCCACGAACGCTGGGACCAGCATCAGGTGGTGCCAGTTGAGGGAATAAGGACACGGGTCAGACCTGTGGCTCTGTTTTATCCCACGAGGCACAAAGAAACCCTTCCTGACAGCTCCACGGCTGCCGCACCGTTGTGCTCTCGGGGACAGCCACCGCCCCAGCCGGCCCATGCCTGGCTCCCACCGTCCAGGCAGCCTACTCGCTGCACCCTCCCTGCGCCCTGCTTGCCCCAGTCAGGCCCCAAGAGTATGGGAATCATGAACCCTACACGTGGTCAAGCTAAAAACCAGAAGCCACAGAACTTCTGTTGCCACTGTAGTGGGAACCCAAGTTCTAAAGCCTGTGGCACTAACGTGGCCTTAGACAAGCCGCTGATCCTGTCTGGGCAGGAAATGCGCATGGGGGGCCGGGTCAGAGGCACGGTTCCCAGGGCACCTTCTTCCAAATTTGCTGCTTGAATTGATATCCGAGGAGCGTAATCTCCCGTGAAGTAAGAAATGTCCACATCGAAGCCGCGGATAATCCCTTGTATCCCGAGCTTAATGATGCACCAGTCGTGACCTGCGGGAGGGAAGCGAGGACACCCCTGTCAGCCGTAACTCAGCAGACAGAGCATGTGATCGAACCCAACGGAAGCAAAAACGAAACTCGGCACCACCCCCTCCCGTCACAGAAAAGGGCTCCCTGGGTAACTCTCAGCTGTGACTTAAAGATGTCCCGCGGCACGGCCACGCACGGCCACCGCACCCCACAGCCACCCTCTGCCCCTGGGCCTTGGATCCCGGGAGACCGATTCTGGCTGCAAAGTGAAGACTGGCCCCTGTGAGCCTCACTTCTTCAACTGTGAGTCGGGGACGAGATCAGCTTCCAAAAATCAAATGTGCCTGTGCCAGGTAGAGAACGGCCTGCCCCCAACTCGGCAGTGCTCAGCACGGGCCGGGCCCCCTGCAGACAACTTGCACACCATCACTTCGGGTCCTGCGGTGCCCAGCTGCCCCCTCCCCGCCCTGCTGAAGTGTGAGAAGTCTGCAAGCCATAGGTCATCAAGTTCTTCCCGGTTACCTGTGGTCAGGTGTAGACCCGCCTTGAAATGCCCAGATTCATGAGAATCTGATAGTGTCTGGAGTACCCAGGAAATACCTAGGACCCCTGTAACACTTGGGATGCCAAAGAATCCAGTTATCAGCCTAATGCTGGATTCGTTCACTTTTACAGGCGTGTCTGCAGCTTTCACAGGTGTATTTTCACTGAGCCTGACGAGAAGCGATGAATAAAGCAGGTCCTCAGGGGACATGAAGGGCACTGTGTGCAGGCAGAGGGCAGATGGGCATTCAGGTCCTGGCCCTTCTCACCGGTGACGTGACGGGGGCTGCGTGGGCAAGGCCGTCTACACAGGGGTTGGGGGGACCAGTCCACCTGCTTCAGAGAACCGTGTGAAGACGCAACGCAAACACGCACACGATGGACGTTTGCCACCCTGCTTGGGGGTGTCCACCGGCCCCCCGCGGCCTCACCAACACTCCGGCTCTCCCAGCAGCGTGCACCCCCCTTCCACCTGATGGTGCACAGAGGGCCTCTGCCTAAATCCTCCGAGCCTGACGTTCAGAGGGGCCGTGTGCGGCGACAGAGTGTGCCAGGGGCCTGGGGCCAAGCGGACCCCAAACGCATGCTGGCTTCCCAACACCGTGTCAGCCTCGCCAGAGACATCTCGGTACCTGGAGTTCTCTTCCTTCTGGTCTCCCATCCATCCATCCACTTCCCAAACTCCGTGTACTCATCTTCTCTGAAGCTCGGTCTTTCCCTCTAAAGCAGAGATGCGAGACAAGGTGGCCGTTACCATCCCTGCTGGCCTGTTCTGTCCCCCAGAGGGACAGGTGACCCATGCCAATGGGGACTTAGAGGGACTCCTCGGCCGGTGTGGGGGTGCCTGCCACTACCTTCACAGTCGGGTAACCCGTTCCAGATCAGGAGACGCCTCCCCAGAGAAAGAAATCCTGCTTCTCTGTGGGCCTCGAGGCATGGAATTAACTGTCCCCAGCACTAGGTAAAACCCCATCACACTTTATTCCGTGGCCCCACAAACGGCACAGCTCCACCCCCCACCCCCACCCCCAGTGCATTTCCCAGGCAACCCAGAAAAGGCTGCTCATCGAGGAATCTGGCCAACATGCTTGAGGCATAGGCGGGATGCTGAGGTCCAGCTGCACTTGAACCCCAGCCCTCGGAGCTGCTCCGTGTGCAGAGAGCTGGCCCTTCCTTTTAGTAGTGAGTGCTCCATATACGGAAGTTCATATATGGGTCCTTTCACCAGATCCCCCGTCATCGGACATTTGGGTTGGTTTTTCCCCCTCCAAACAACACTGGGATGAATATTATCTGCATATCTTTGCCTACTCATGCAAATAATATAAATCTGTGGAACAGCTAGGTCAAAGTGTGTAAGCATTTAAATTTCCTGTAGACAGACCTATGGTAAAACGAAAAGAGCTTCGACATCTATTAGTTGTGTGACCTAGAACAAGTAAATCACCCTCTCTGTTCCTTATTCCATTGCCATTTTGTCTGAGGAGTAAGTTAATATATGCAAGATGTCCTTGGAATGTCATACTTTAACGTGCTCCAGACCTGGCTAGGTCCTGCCCAGGAAGCGTAGCCCTGTCACCAGAGTGACAATGTGGCCAGTAACCACGGAGGACAGTGCACTGTCCACTCACAAGAACTCACGCCCCACGGCTGGGGGGCAGGGGGCAGGAATCCAGCCAAGCTTCCCTTTCTTCCCTGTATCTTCAGGTTTGATTTTTGTTTTGTTTTGTTAATAAGCATGTCCTACACTGTTATAACTAGGCAGGTAAGACATTTCCCCAAAATTCAAGACGTGTGTCAGTTTTCTTCCTGGCACAGCTCATGGGCTCCACGTGAGACGGAGGACAGTATATAAGGATCTCACTAATTTCCCCATAAAGCCACGCGGCCCCAAATCCCTGTGTCTGACGCCCATCTGTCCCCAGAGCCTCTTAGCCCGAGCTGGTGCGGATTTCCACACGTTCCTACGGTTGTGACGTGCCATTCCCTGGTACGCACGCCCGGACCCCCAGCTCAAACGTCCCAGCAGATTCTAATTGCCACGTTGGCATAGACGGCCCTACCCAACACTCCATGGTGCAGAATGCCGGTTTACAATACCTTTATGAGGTTTTCCGCAGGAGCAAAAAAATCATCTGTTGCAAATAAAATCTAGACAAAGACAGAGAGAGGTCAAGATAAAATAGCTATAAATTCAAAACCACTTCATTTCATTCCCTAGTGGAATGTTGCAAGATGCAGTAAAAAGAAACATGGAGCTGCCAGGGGAAGAGAAACCACATGCAACTAGCCCACCATGCTTTTCACACGTCGAGGCCCCACGACCTGCCTCCTCCTCCATGCTTCCCTTCCCGACTGAGCTCTGCCCCCTGACCATCTGGATGTGAGCGTGCTGCCTTCATACACCCGGGAAGAATGTAAGAAGAATGGAGGACACTGGGCTTTGCGATTCTCTCACAAACAGAGCAATGGCCACAACAACCAGCACTGCGGGCCCCGCCTGTGGTTTGGCCAGCTCACCGCCGGACGCCCTGCAGGAAGGTGGGCCTGGTCATGTATCAGCTGCGGCAGGACAATTTGGGAGTGAGGGGTTGCTACTAATTACCCCAAGAAAACAGGTGGAAATGGATTTTCTGCACAAAACAGGCTGCTGTCATCCCGGCCAAAGCCAGGACCCTGTGACAGCGGCCCTTGGGAGGGGACCCCGCACACCAGTGTCGGGAATTAGCCGGTCACGGTTTCAGGTCTGCTTGTCTATGACTGAAGAGAGGTGTGTTCATCTCAGGGCACATTTGTCTCCATGGAGGAAGCCGTGTCAGGACGCTGTCATTGGCACTCAGCAGCTCGGGCGTTGACGGGCACAGCGGCCCCACAGAAGGGACACGTGAACCCCCATCCTGATGGTCTGTGGGCTTTGCCCTGAGTGCGCGCTCTGGGCAAGGCCGCACTTTGCTGATGTCAACAGCTCTCCGGGGATCTGGAGACACCTGTCTCTGCCGGGGCCGAGGCTACTCCTCGTGGGGGTGGCGCAGGCCGCGTAAGGGCCCCGCGCCGACAGCCATCGGAGCAGCGGGCACCGCTGCCACCAGCCGCGAGGGACCCAGGCCGGCAGCCGGCCCCCAGCTTTGGGCGGGATGACTGACTGCAGAGAACCAGCTTGTAGGAAAGGACGCCTCACCTAACCCCGGACTTCACTTCTCTCATCTCCCCATTGCCTGGACCGATCAGGTAATTCATCTGTCATGAGCTTGGGGTATGTTGTTCAGGGATCGTTATTCTGCAGGCTATTGGTTGGTGGAACATTGTTGTGATTCTAAATTACAATTTCCACGGAGAACCTGTGTTACTTAAATTATTGGAAAATCAGTCTCAGCCTCCGAGCATAATTTGCATCGGATGAAACTACTGTCCTCGGCCGCAGCCCAGAGCCCCCAGGTCAGGGGAGACCTCGCGGTTCCGCTGAGGATGACTGTCCCAGAGGCCAAGTGCAGGGGGCACAGCTGTGTCGAGGCTGGCCTGCCCCCTGAGGATTTGCAAGGGCCGAGTGCGGGTGAGTGGGGCGGACACACAGGAGTCTCTCCAGATCCTTCTCTGGCTCCTTGGCAGAAACCCTCATGGGCCATCCGGGGCCTTTCGACCTCCCCGGCTCCTGCCCCCAAAACACCTGATGGCTTCCAGCGACACTAAGCCAACTGGGGCGTGCCTGGCTCCCTCCCCCGCATCCCGGCCGAAGCGACCCCTCACCCCTTTCCCTTGCCGGCTCGCTGTCCCACCTGCGGACCCCAGTGAGCATTGTTCAGTGGCACGGCCTTTCCCAGCCCTGTCTCCCTGGGGAGCACGAGCTTCAGGAAGGCAGGCAGGGGCCCTCCCAGCGGCCCCGGACGTCACACCTGCGCGGTGCGGGCGCTCGGTGCCTCTGCGTTTTACCGGTACCGCAGTGCTCTGCACCTGTTAACAACCGTTCCAGGTAATCCTCACACTAACACATGAGGACCACGGATCCACGCCGTGAGGAAACACACGGAGGGACAGAGGACTCTTCTCACAGGGGCAGGACGCCTTTCTGTTCCGAGCTGAAAGCGATACTGCCTTTGCCAGGACTGTCACCAATTTTTAGAAAATTCTTCGGAAGCCTTTGGCGATAATGGGCTTGCTGGGGTCGGCTGGACCTTCAGCCCGATCCTCGCCACTCTAACTAGGGTCCTGCGGCGCTGTCCTTCCCGTGAGACCCCCACTTACCTTTCCGCCTACAGACTCAGACGCCAGGTCAGCCAGCTGGGTGAAGTCCAGAGACCGGGCCAGTTTGCCCTCCCAGGGGGAGTCAGCCATGCCTCCTGGCAACGAGAAAGGAGGCTCGGTCAGCCTCGGGTACCGAGGGCAGCAGAGCCTGCGAGAGCGAGCGGGGCCCTCACCCGGGTTCCCAAAACCGAGGTCTGAGACGCTCAAACAACACACATGGTCAAGTGGACGTGGCAGGTGCCCACACACTCCCAGGGACCTTCAGGTGACTTTGCACAAACACTGAACTGGGAGTGAGAGCACGCTCCCTCTGAACTACTAAGAACAAAGTTCCCCCAAATCCCACTGCCTCAAATTGCGATTTTCTTTTTTTAATTTTTTTAATGCTCATTTGTTTTTGAGAAAGAGAGACAGAGCACGAGCAGGGAGGGGCAGAGATAGAGGGAGACACACAATCTGAAGCAGCTCCAGGCTCTGAGCTGTCAGCACAGAGCCCGACGCGGGGCTCAGACTCATGAGTTGTGAGATCATGACCTGAGCCGAAGTCGGGCACTTAACTGACTAAGCAACCCAGGTGCCCCTAACTGTGAGTAATTCTTCATGAGATATTAGTTTTTGTGTAGTTTTCTCTCTCTTTTTTAAGGGGAAAAATATTCTACTTTAGAAAGGAATAATTTGCTTTTAATACTGCTTAGATCCATTCAAAAATCACTTATTGAGCAACTAGCTGGCAGGCCCTGGCTAGAAATAAGGTGCAGAAAACACAGGCGCTGCCCACATGGGCTCCCCCATGGCAGAGACGATGCCCCAGACACCCAGGCAGAGCAGTGCTCTGGAACCATCTGAGACTGAGACACAGAGATTGCTCCGCCCAGGAAGACACAGGCATCACCAGTAACCCAGCCCCCACACCCTGCCACCCCCTGATTTTGAAGTTGGGAAAGCAGAGGTTTGGAGAAGAGGAGAGGCATGCAGGGAAGCGGGGGACCTCAGGGCTGGCCTGGAGGCCGCCCTACTCCTAAGCCAACAGACGACCTCTGTTCCTACCTTTTCTCCTACACTTCGTGGTGAAGAGAAAACTACACAAAAATTAATATCTCATGAAGAAGTATTCACAATAAGGGGCGCTCAGTCGGTTAAGCAACAGACTTCAGCTCAGGTCATGATCTCACAGTTGATGAGTTCAAGCCCCACATCAGGCTCTGGGCTGACAGCTCAGAGCCTGGAGCCTGCTTCAGATTCGGCGTCTCCTTCTCTCTCCCCTTCCCCCACTCACGTACGTACGCAATCTTGTTCAATCTCTCTCAAAAATAAAATAAATATATAAATAGATAGATGATAGATAGATAGATAAAATACTGGTTCCCTAATTGGACCAAAATCTCCCTGAGGATGAAATGGTACAGAAGAAATCTGCTAACATTGGTCATGACTTTGCACTAATGTCCTGCGCAGTCCATATATTTTCTCTCTTTTGAGCCTCAACACCTGTGATTCTGGTATTCTTCGCATCTGACAAATGAAGGGAATGCACCTTTAAGAGGACAGGTAACTCGTACAAACCACGCAGCTGGAACGTGAACCACATTTCCAACCCAGACCTGCCCAGACGTGACGGGCACATGAGAGCCCTGACCTCGCGTCAGGGTTACATCAGTGCGTGCGTGCGCAGTGTCCTGACCGCGCAGAGTCACACCTGCTAGGCAGGGTCACGGCGGAGGGCGGGACAGGCGGTGGTGATAAAGGCGGCAATGGTGCCCTCACTGCATGAGCTCTGGGGGTCCCTGAAGGAGCCGACACCTGAGCTGGGACTTGAGAAGGGACAAGGGAGGCAGCACGTGCCAGGCGCGGCGTGCAGGCAGGATGGGCCACCGGGGCCACGGAAGTAGAGATTGGCATTTGTCTGCACCTACACTGTCCAACTTAGAAGCCAGAGGCCATAGGTGGCTGTTTAACATGTTAAAATTTCATCAAAATTAAATAAAATTAAGAATGTAGGGGCGCCTGGGTGGCTCAGTCGGTTAAGCATCCAACTTCAGCTCAGGTCATGATCTCATGGTCTGTGGTTTGAGCCCCACATAGGGCTCTGTGGTGACAGCTCAGAGCCTGGAGCTGCTTCGGATTCTGTGTTTCCCTCTTTCTGTCCCTCCGCAAATGCACTCTGTCTCTCTCTGTCTCTCAAAAATGAATAAACATTAAAAAAATTTTTTTAAAAAGAATGTAGCTGTGCCTGGTACTAGTCACATGTGCTGGACAGAGCACACGTAGAACCTTCCATCACAGAAGCTTTATTCAACTGTGCCGGAAAAGCCCCAGGACCATGAGGGCGCAGGAGCCCAGGCCTCCACCAGCACGTAGTGCCACACTGCACCGCAGGCCCAACGCACGCCCGACGCACAGGCTGGCATCACTGGCTTCTGCACAGAGCGCTCGCTGCCGGGTCCAGGGCAGCTTGTCAAAGCTGGGATGCTGGAGGTTTGCCGTGTCCCAGCTCAGGCTCGGCGGCCTCTCCAGCAGCCAGCATGCGGGCTCAGGAGCACAGAGCTCAGGGCCCGCCCAACGGGTGTGGGCCGGTCACAGACGGGGGTCTGCCCAAGCCTGTGGGTCCCTGCAGGCTTCCCCCAACAACAGCCTAGTAACCGTCGCATATCCTGGACAAGATCACACAGTGCCGGGCCAGTCATGGCGCTCCACAAAGCCTTGCTGCATATTTAATTTCCTTAAATAATCACAAAACATTAGATTTCCCCGGTCATTCTTCTGAAAAGGCTCGATTTTTTTCCCAGGTGGTTGCAGCGAGCTCGATATGCACCAGGACAGAGCGTTCTAACATTTTTCCAAGATCAACAATTTAATGCCCCTTCTTGGCTACCGGGTTTGATGGAAAAAGCAAGGTGTCATGGCTACATGGGGTGGGGCCCTCAGGGGGTCCTGTGGCCCAGTCTCCCTGCTGGCCGGAGAGCGGTGAGAGGGGGAAGCTCTTCCAACCCTTGCTGTCTTTCATCTTTTTCTTCCGTGTGCCTCACATCACCTCCACCGAGCAGTGCGCTGCACACATGGACCAGAGGCTGCAGGTGCATGAGAGAGAGAGCAAGCCAGAGACATTTTACACGTTTTCCACAGGATGGGTCTCAACCATCAGGTTCTTAGGCTCCGCCCTCCAAGATACACCACCTCTGCACTTCCTTTTAAAAAAAGAACGCTCCCTTCGTGGAATGAACATTTCCATCTAGTAAATCGGTAAGTGGGAAGCTCTCTTCAGAAATCGTTAGGCAGGGAGCAGCGCCCTCTGTGGTCGGAGCTGTAAGGCAGGCAGGACCTTCCTGTACCGGCCTCTGTGTCACAGATGGCACGCGGGGTGACATAATACAGCCCATTCCCCAAACGGAGAAACACGCTTTCCCCAGGCTCCCTGAAATGCATGTGCACTCGCTGAAGAGCAGCGCAAAACCGGACGTCGAGGCCAACGTTCATTTTTCCAAATGAAACCTAGTGCCTGGACACATCGGTTTGGATTGGCAGCAGTGACTTAATTCGCTTTGGGGCAGAGATTTCTCCGTGGGCTCCATCCTCAACCACCCGCCCCTGGCTCACCCCTAGCCCGGGAACACCCGCGGAGACGGGGCACCGTGACTGCTCCCGGGACTCAGTTACTCAGACACTTCATCATTCTCCCGCTAAAGCCCCAGGCGCGGCGAAGCCCCTGCTACCGCAGCGCGCTCAAAGCGTGTTTTGCTGAGATAAAAGAAAAACAAACAGACCTTTGTAAAACACCACAGAGGCTCCGCCAGAGATAAACCAAGAGGAGTATGAATCTCTTTGTGCAACTTAATAGAAACAGACGGGGAGAGGAGGGACTGCAGGTAAAATTCAGCCATAATTTTCTCTACTGCCACCCCCACCCCTTTCCACCCATTTCCACGGAGAAGTCAGGTCTGCAAAGAGCAGGGGCTCTCCGTGCAGTGCTGAGCCTGCAAAGGGCGTCGTGTTGGCCGAGCCCTGAGAGGGTAACACCTGGCACGTGGGTATGGAAGCTTAAATCTGACGGCATACAGAGCCCAGTTTCGCGGTCGCACTGGCCGTCTTCGGGCGCTCAGAGGCCAGGCATGGCTGGTAGCATGAGAGAGAGGCTTCTACGGCGGGGGCAGGTTCTGGCCATCCATGCGCATGGTGGGAGGGCACCGCCGTTTCAGTTTTCATTAATGACCTTAGTCAGACATAAGGTCGATGTTCAGGATGACCTCAGAACCCTCTAGCAACCTCTCAGCCGTGCCAGGAAAGTGACAGCAATAGTGTCGAGCCATCTCTCTGGGTCCCTGATGCCAGACCCTGTGACCCTGTGACCCTGTGACCCTGCGACCTCACAGGGCAATGGGGAACCTGCAGATGCTATCGGGTTTACAGACCCTACGAGAGGGAGGAGACTGGATAATCCAGGTGAGTCCCACCTTTCTCTGGCCTAAGAGCCATGCGCCAAAGGCAAGTCGGGAAGAATCAGAGGTTCGAACTGAGCTGCAAAAGAGAGAAGGGCCCACGTGCAAGGACCAGACGGAGCCCCGAGGACCTACAGGTGGCCCAGCCGGACACCAGCAAGGGGCCAGGACGGTCCGCCCTACAAGCTCGGAAGTGGCCTCTCCCCTTCCCTCCCTCCCCAGGGCCCCCTGCAGTCAGGCCCTGACTCAGGCTGTACACCGGAGCGGAGAAGCCAGCTGAGCCCAGCCAGACTTCCGACCCGCAGACCACAAAACCACACATTTGTGTGAAGACACCGAGAGTGTGTGACAACACTAACACACCCCACAGTCCTTCATTCAGACTTAACGACGGACACGAGGTCAGAGTTACAGACGGCGATCTCCTTCTGGGACAGACGACGAGGCCCCTCGGGTCCCGGGGCCCAGAGCTGCGGCGGCACCGCCCGTGCGCACGCGGGACACTCGTTGGCACCACTGGGGACCCAGGCTGGCCTGTCTGTGTGGCGGCGCCCGGCCCCGCGGACAGTGCTCAGGACGTGCTGGCCTCTCGGCGGGTCAAGCCCCATCGGCTCTAATTAACGTACCTCAGTGAGGCTTTGTGCAAGCTGGCGCCTCCCCTAAAAGTCCGGGTCCAGTTCAGGGCAGGTTCCTGCCACACTTTCCACCAAATAAGTGTAACAACATGAGGCGGGCACACGAAGAGAACAGGTGTCTTTAAGCCTCAATCCCGGGGGCGCCCGGGGGGCTCAGTCGGCTAAGCTTCCAACTTCGTCTCAGGTCATGACTCACAGTTTGTGAGTTCGAGCCCCGTGTCAGGCTCTATGCTGACAGCTCGGAGCCTGGAGCTGCTTCATGTTCTGTCTCCCTCTCTCTCTGCCCCTCCCCTGCTCACGCTCTGTCTCTCTCTGTCTCTCATAAATAAATAAGCATTAAAAGAAATATAGGGGCGCCTGGGTGGCTTAGTCGGTTGGGCGTCTGACTTTCGCTTAGGTCATGATCTCACGGTAGTGGGTTCGAGCCCCGCATCGGGCTCTGTGCTGACTGCCAGCTCATAGCCTGGAGCCAATTTCGGAGTCTGTGTCTCCCTCTCTCTCTGACCCTCCCCTCTTCACGCTGTCTCTCTCTCTCTCCTAGAAATAAATAAAAATTAAAAAAAAATATTAAAAAAAAAGATCCAAATCAAAATTGCACGAGCATACTTCTCAAAACTAGAACTGTCCTAAAATTTGTACGGAACCACAAAAGACCCCAAATAGCCAAAGTAATACTGAAAAATAAAACCAAAACGGGAGGTATCACCATCCCAGACTTTAGCCTCTACTACAAAGCTGTCATCATCAAGACAGTATGGTATTGGCACAAAAACAGACACATAGACCAATGGAATTGAATTGAAAACTCAGAAGTGGACCCAAAAGTATACAGCTAACTAATCTTTGACAAAGCGGGAAAGTATCCAATGGAAAAAAGACAGCCTTTTTAACAGATGGTGTTGGGAGAACTAGACAGCAACATGCAGAAGAATGAAACTAGATCATTTTCTCACACCATGCACAAAAATAAACTCAAAATGGATAAAGGATCTGAACGTGAGACAGGAAACTATCAACACCCTAGAGGAGAAAGCAGGAAACAGCCTCCTTGACCTCCACCGCAGCAACTTCTTACTTGACACATCCCCAAAAGCAAGGGAATCAAGAGCAAAAATAAATGATTGGGACCTCATCAAGATTAAAAGCTTCTGCACAGCAAAGGAAACAACCCACAAAACTAATAGGCAACCGACGGAATGGGAACAGATAGTTGCAAATGACATATCAAATAAAGGGCTAGTATCCAAGATCTATAAGGAACTCACCAAACTCCACACCTGAAAAACAAACAACCCAGTGAAGAAATGGGCAGAAGACATGAACAGACACTTCTCCAAAGAGGACATCCTGATGGCCAACAGACACATGAACGATGCTCACATCCCTCTTCATCAGGGAAATACAAATCAAAACCACAGTGAGATACCACCTCATACTGGTCAGAGTGGTGAAAATGAACAAATCAGGAGATTCCAGATGCTGGCGAGGATGTGGAGAAACGGGCACCCTCCTACACTGTTGGTGGGAATGTAAACTGGCACAGCCCCTCTGGAAAACAGTGTGGAGTTTCCTCAGGAAACTAACAGTAGAACTCCCCTATGACCCAGCAATGGCACTGCTAGGAATCTACCCAAGGGACACAGGAGTGCTGATGCACAGGGGCACATGGACCCCAATGTTCACAGCAGCACTCTCCACAATAGCTAAAACATGGAAAGAGCCTAAGTGTCCATCAACG